AGTGGACGACAATTTCATAGATTTACTATTTAATATGAATAATTTTAAGACTGAGGAACAGCTCACATTGAGCTTCCTGAGTTAATTTAATCCCAGGAACCACCAACAAAGACGTCCTGATTGTCAGTCTGTACTTCGAGTTCCACCTCTGAGAACTGCAGTTCTTCCTCAAGAACAGTCTTTAATGCTTGAAGGGATTTTCCTCCCACTTTTATCTTTTCTGCTTCTCACACATGGAAGATCCAAGAGGAAAATATCCAAAATGAGATTAAGAGTGTTGAGTCTCACCCTCTGAGACTAAGGGTGTTGTCAGATTAAATAAAAAAAAAAAAAAATACCCTTCTGGGCAGAAGCCAAAACGTCTGAATGGGACTCCAACTCTAACCTTGCTTGTTTGTTCCCACGGCCTGTCAGACGAGGCTCTGGTTATATTTCCTTTTGAAACTTAAGAACGTCTCTGATTCATCATTGCACTTGACTCTCAGACTGAGAATTTTTCAAAATGCTCTTCAATTTTATGGTAGCTGCCCAACATTTCAACTTTTCACCTTTAAAAAGTTGAAGGCAATTTAGAATGATCAGAAAATTATAAAGTTCACTTTTAAAATTAGTAAATAGAAGCTATATAACCCCCATTTCTCTTTAACTTGGCTAGCAGAAAGTTTGATATCATATTTTGATGCTCAGTTGAAGAAGATGAGGGATTATATGCCTACTCTCCAGACGTAGTGAAAACCAAGGAATTATTGAATCAGTATTCTTGCCAAAGATGGATTTAGATGACTTCGGGCTCCTCCACCCTCTAAATCTTGTAAATGATTTTTATTAATTTTGATCTTCTCATGTGCTAAGGAGTCCTTTATCTATAAGGTTCCAATTTTTCTAACTTCTGACTTGTCAACCTGGTCATTTAATAATTTAATAAATTAAAAAATGGAGGTTTGGCCCAAATTCCATGTATCTTGCCTTGTTTCACTGATTTATCTTACGTTCATAATAATGGCCTGTGAATGAACTTATGTGTAGCAATTCTTTTTTCTTTTGGGGACAGAAATAATTGACACTGAACTGAATACTTTTCAAGACAGTGTGTAGCCAAAGATAGCAAAAGAATCTTTAGTACCTTCTGAGAGAGAAGCAACTAAAATCTTAGTATCTGTTCGTGTGAGACTCAAATTTATTGAAATTTCTTGGAGTTTCTATTAGCAATGGACAAAAATCAGACATCCCCCAAATAAAATTATAATTGGGATAGACAGTGATGGGACTATTTGACTACAGCAGAAAAGTCACTACCAGCTGTATCATTTTTGTCCCAATTGGGACAGATAATATTCTTTAGCAACTGTTCTAGAGATAAGTAGATGATCTATTCATCAGGTATCAGTCAAAACCACTAGGATCACATATTTCTGTTTCAACAGCAAGGTTGAGCTCAACATTAGTTAAGTGAAGGCTTTTTTCCCCCAGCCGTATGGTAACATGCTTGGGTTCTGACTTCAGACTTGGACTAAAGAAAGCTAGCCTGACAGTGTTGATGAAGTTTAGTGACCATAAACTATTTTATAATGCCGATTAGGAGAGCCATTTCTTTTTTTCACTCATGTGTCCCAGTGATTGTAGTGTTGAGAGGTATTGAGTTTATACACATTTTATAGAACTATCTATGACAATGGTACCCAATTTGTTTGCTAGGATCTAGTAGGAAGCTGATTGGAAGTTGTTGGTGATTACATATGCACCAAAACATAGTCTGTAGATTAAATAAATAATAAATCTGATGTATATCTATGTACTTTCATGCATACTTAACTGTCTATATGTATACACGATACACATATGTATATGTGTATTGTGTGTGTGTGTGTGTATGTGCACATGTAGATAACTTTCTGTTCATACTATAGTTCCTCAAAGTCTTTAGATCTTGCCACTGCAATTTTTTTTAATGGAAGAACTATAACATTTTGTGTAAAAATGATTTTTATTCATGAAGGCTTTTATGGGAGTTAATACTCTCTACTTTAAGAGTGAGCTTTTCCCTCTATAGGTAATAAACGCAATCAAAGAAAATATTGGTTTGAAAACTAATTATACATGTTTGAGGAGTTATGTCTTTTCTATCTCCTTATTAAATTCTCAGTTGCTAGAATTGATCTGGAAAGTTTGTGCAAGAGAAGATGAGAAAAGAGAAAATAAATAAAAATGTAAGCATTTATTATTTAATTGCCAAATCTCTCTAATTAGAAGTCTGTCTCATAGGTTTATTTTGTTTTATTTTGGATTAATACATGGGTACAAACAGGTTACATAGTTTGCATTGTTAGGAAAAGTTCATGTTGTAGTTGAGCTCTTCCCCCAGGTGTGCCATATACCTCTATGCTGTACCCCTTAAGTGAGAGCTTACCAAGCTCCCTTTCCTCTTCGTCCTTCCCCCTCCCCCACTTGAATTTAATTGTGTATTTGTTTTCTTGTAAGGGAATATAGTAATTCATCTACTAGTTTTATATTAGTATTGAGTACATTGGGTGCTTATTTTTCCATTCTTGTGATACTTAGGAGGATATTCTCCAAATCCATTCATATAAATACAAAAGTTGCAAAGTCTCCATCTTTTTTATGGCTGAGTAGTATTCTATGGTATACATATACAATAGTTCATTTATCCATTTGTGAGTGTACACTTGGGTTGTATCCACATCTTGCAATTGTGAATTGGGCTGCTATAAACATTTGAGTACAAATGTTATTTTTTTTATTATTAAACCGTAGCTGTGTACATTAATGGAATCATGGGGTACAATGTGCTGGTTTTATATATAATTTGAAATATTATCATCAGATTGGTTAACATAGCCTACATGGCATTTTCTTAGTTATTGTGTTAAGACATTTATATTCTACACCTAGTAAATTTCACATGTACCCTTGTAAGATGCACCATAGGTGTGGTCCCACTAATTACCCTCCCTCCACCTATCCTCTCCCACCCCTCCCTTCCCTCTCCCCTTTCCCCTTCTTCTTGGACTATAATTGGGTTATAACTTTCATAAGAAAGCTATAAATTGGTTTCATAGTAGGGCTGAGTACATTGGATACTTTTTCTTCCATTCTTGAGATACTTTGCTAAGAAGAATATGTTCCAACTCCATCCATATAAACATGTAAGAGGTAAAGTCTCTATCTTTCTTTAGAGTACAAATGTTCTTATGGTAAAATGATGTTTTTTTCTGATTAGATACCTACTAAAGGGATTATGGGATCAAATAGAAGGTCTACTTTTAGCTCTTTGAGGATTCTACATATTTCTTTCCAGAAGGGCTCTATTAGTTTGCAATCTGATCAATAGTGTACAAGTGTTCCTTTCTCTCCACACCTATACCAGCATCCTTAGCTTTGGGACTTTGAGATGTGGACTATATTCTCACTGAGATTAGGTACTATCTCAAGCTGGTTTTGATTTGGATTTCTCTGATGATTAGGGACAATGACCAATTTTTCATGTGATGTGTTTCTTGGCCATTGGTCTTTCTTCTTGGGAGAAGGTTCTGTTCATGTGTTTGGCTTTTTTTTTTTTTTTTTTTGCACAGTGATAAATGGGGTTGTTTGCTCTTTTCTGTTCATTAGTTTGGGTCCTTTACAGATTTTGGTTGTTAGGCCTTTGTCAGATTCATAGCATGCAAATATCTTCTTCCATTTTGAAGGATATCTCTTTGCTTTAGTTGTTGTGCCCTTAGCTCTTCCAAAGCTTTTTAGATTGGTCATGTCCCATTTATTTATTTTTGGTGTTGCTGAAATAGCCAACGTGGTCTTCTTTATAAAATCTTTCTCATATCTTTCTTTATTAAGCTGTGCTAGTTTTCAAGTGAGGACACGTAGGCAATCAATTCTCCTCAGCTGACTACATTCATTGTCTTATGCTTGCCTTTTAGTTTCAGATATGGCCTCTTTTTCTACCTTATCTTCTTTCTCCAGATCCCTGGAATGATTTCAAAGTAAGGAAGTGCTCATACCTGTGTTTATTGTGTTCACTGTAGCCAGAGCTCAATTTGTATTTCTATTTAACTTACTTGTTAGCTACATGACCTCTTAAGTTCTCTAAATATATTTAACACATGAAGTTAATTTAATAAATATTTCTGCCGTGTTTGGTCTGCAAAACTAGAACTCTGGAAATTGATTGCAAGGTCTGTGGCCTAAAATATGCACCTTTGTTTAGTTTCCTTATATGTTTCATGGACATTGTATCACCTCATAGAAACTTGGGGAACATTAAGAATATTTCTGTATCTGAAAGTGTTTCAAAACCTATATATTCACATAAACTAGGAATACAATACAACTATTAATAAAGTCCCTAATGATTTTAGTGATTAAATAATTTTTGTACTGATCACACTGAATTCTATGTCTTCTGTTCTCTAGGTACTGGCTCTGGCACCCTTCTAGTTTTCATCTGACACCTTCAAGTGCAAGTTGCCTGTTTCAGTTTTCATACAGCTATGCCTTACTTTCAGATATGGTTCTTGAAATATTTTGTTGAAGAGAAAAAATGTAAAAAGCTAAAGAGTTAAATTTATGCTACAGGTTTCTGCTTGCAGTGAATCAGGTCTTCTGACCCAGAACCTGATGAAAATTCTGCTTGTTCCGTTTCTTTGCTTTCTCTCAATTCTTCCTTCATTTGGAGAGATGTTGCTGGTAGTTTGGATACCTCTACATTGAAGACTCCTGCTAATAACAAATTCTTTGTGTCATTTAGATTTCTTCTACCAATGAGCAAATAATTTATATCCAAAATTATATCTCTCCACGGAGCCACCCTACATGTTGGATGTCTCCCACTTTTGTCAGATCCTTAGGAGAGAATCTAGCTCTTTAAATGATGCCGTGTAACCAAGAGAACAACACAGATTGGACTTGAGCGATTGGTAATTCAGTTTCGTTTATTACTAATCCTCTTATTCATTGTGCTTTAGTTTTCATGGATGCTGATTTTTATTTCAAACTAGACAACAGTTGACATTTAGTTTTGTGCAGTGACCAACTGACCGTTCCAAGTTATTGCACACACGTTTACATTTGCCTTTCAGGACAAAGCAACTAATGGTGTCTTTCATGGCACATTTCACTGTTAAGAGGAAAGAAAAAACACACGTAAACCATTGAGTCAATGTATGTGTCTCAAAAGCCCCAATTTGGGATAAATCAGTTGTTAGTTGAAAATATATAAAGCACCTGCTTACTGGGATAGGGATTCTGGAAGACATTGGTTTTGCTATTTTTCTAGTGCTGATAGATTTGTGACATTTGATTTCATTGTCAGTTTTGTACCAAACCTATGGCCAGGTTCATTAGTTGTTGATGCTTAGTTTTCCATAGTAATTTCTAAATAGAGATGGTTAAATCCAGAGTGTCTCTGGAATGGATACCATATATATCCATGGCTACTTAGTTCCCCAACTTGCTTTTGAAAACGGCATTTTTGAAGTAAAGTTGACACACAAAGAATTTCTCGTATTTAATGTGTACAATTTGGTGAATTTGGGCTTATCCAAGCATCTATAATTCCATCATCACATTCAAGGTAACAGACATATCTAGAACCGTTTTCTTTTAGTTTCAAAAGAAGATAAACATTTAAACAGTTTTGGCTTTAGGATTCAAAAATGGGAAAATCGATTAATGTTATTTTAATTTCTATATTGGCTGAATATTTTTAGGAATCTCTTTTATGAGAAGAATTGAGACAACCTTAGCAGACACTGACCTAAGGGGGATTCTTTGAATGTGCATAAAGATTAGAGCCCATAATGATGGGAGAGCTACACAGAAAAGAAGGGGGTGAAATAGGTTAGCATTTCCTCATATTTCCCACTTTTAAGGTTTTCTTTTCTTTTTTTTTTTTTCACCAGGGCTGGGTTTGAACCCATCACCTCCAGCATATGAGGCAGGCGCTCTACTCCTTTGAGCCACAGGCACCACTCTAAAGTTCTTTTTTTTATATAAAGTATTCAAGCCTGCATTATCATAACATATGCTAACCAAGGAACTCATCCACATTATGGGTATAAGACTGAATGTTTCATCTTCTCAAGAAATGCTTGCATTGTTAAAAAGTCCACTTAGGGAGGGAGATTCCCAAAATGAAAGCATTAACCATAATGACGAATTATTAATCATAAGCAGAGAAGATTTGTGAAGAATGTTCTTTTCTCTTTCCCTAGGATTATCAACCCACAGGATCCTGACACACAGGATCCAATGGGGATCAAGTTGATGGTACTGAAAATTCAATTGTTCATGCCCTCTGCTTTCCATGAGGTTATGTTAGCATTAAATTTTAAAGTCTTTTTTAGAAAATGGGCATTTAAAACAATAATTAAACCCATATTATATTAAAGTTTTTTCCCTATATTTAAGGCCATATGATACTACTTTTTCACTGTACAAATTAATGATGCCTTTTTATTTGTATTGTCTGGAGAGGTGCTATTTATTGCCTTTGATGCCAGAGGGAAACGACATTATCTCACCAGCTTAAAAATGCATCCTTAAATTACACTGTCCTACATGAGGGGTGTGAAGCATGTATTTTGACTTAATTGGAATTTACAAATAACAGAAGATGACAGCTGTCAAGCACCAGTATGAGAAAAAGAATAGCATTATTTAAGTGGGAATTCTAAATTAGCATTTTTCCACTAGTAACAGAAACAACAAATAGCTTCTCTCTAGAGAACAGCTATTGTATGATATAAAAATTCATATTTATTCACAAGAAGGAATTGAAAATTCCTCAACTTTGAGTTGAAATCATGCACATACATTCACAGTGTCTCTTGGGTTCCTGAAGATACTGAAAGTGCTGTGAAGGCTTTCACATTTTTTTTTTTTTGTCAAAAGCAAATGCTCTGAAGGACACATGTAAATCATGACAATATAACTGGAGCTAATATTTTATTATCCAAACATGGTCATGCTGAATACTAGTCTTCTCTATTTTATGCTAAATACTACTATTCTCTATTGTTTTAGTAAAAACAAATCCTGATTTGAATTCAGTTTGTCTTGAATTTAGAACAATGTAATACAATAATAATCCTCATTATCATCTGGTACATTTTATCTGAATCATAAAAGAAATCAAATTTTTGAATCTTTTATACAAAACATTTAGGTGTTTGAATTTTTAAAAATGTACTTAAAATGAGACTTATTGTTAGAGCACTTTGTTCCGTCTGTGCACCTAAGGGATGAAATTAATGTACACAAAGTAAATACTCATGTTCTAGACCATTTCTATATCAGATCTTAGAATTACCTTTTCTTTGTCTTTTTTTTTTAAGGTGTGTGGAATTATTTCATTGAGTGTGTGAAGTGATTATTTGCAGTATCCTTGCTTACACACAAAACATACTTTTTCTATCTCAGGTGGACCCAAATGTGTCAAAGTAGCCCTTGGCATGACCTCCATCAGGATGTTTCGTTTGGCCATTGATCTAATTTATGGGTGATGAGAACAATGCAAGTTCACAAAAAGAAAACGCAGTCTAAGGGTGTGGAGTCCAACACCGTAAACATCGTTTCAAATATCTCCTTCATTCTCTGTGAGATGTTTCAAGGTCACTTGCTCTCTAAGATGTTTCAGTGCTATGTAACAGTAATTATAATACTATTTAAGATTAACCTAGTGAGTGTTATATTTTATATTAGCACTTTGCATATTTTTGTAGCACTAATCTTCATATTAATGCTATGTAGTAGTCTTAATTACTACAGAGGGTGCCATAAAGGGTATGCACATTTTAAGAAAGGAAAAAAACTACTAAAAAATTGTAATGCTCAATATATACCCGTAACAAAAGATGAATACAAGTCATCGTGAGCATCTCTCATAAGTGCTGAAGTTAAATGTGACTTGAGTATTCTAAATTTAATGCAACTTTTTCCTCTCTTAAAATGCATATATATCTTTTTGACACCCTCTGTATATTTTTTCACAAGTGAGGAAATTGATGCTGAAGGATTTTAAGTAAGATGATTGATTTGTACAGCCAAGAACCCAGGTAGCAGTAACTCAAAAGGTCGTGTTCATTTCTGATGAATATTAATTGCTATATTATTGCAACTGAGGTAATAGAGCCATTCAAATGCTTTCAATTGTAAATTAGTTAAAACCATTTTAGGATAAAGTATTCTCATAGTATACAATGCAGCACGATATTGAGAAGTGTTTCATTAATTGAGTGAAAAACCCATTAGTTACTATACATTGCCCGTCCTTTCTTAAGGAGCTGGATAGTTAACTTTAATATCCATTCGTTAATCTGGTCAACCTGCCCATAATCCTTTAATCAAGTCCTTAAGTTGTCTCCCATGGTAATATAACTAGAAGCCTTACTTTTTAGTAAAATCACAAATTCCTTATGTGTGATTTACTCTGGGGACCTTAACGAAGCACTCTTGGCAATTCAGTCATTCTTTTATCTCCAGCTGATGTCAACCATCCTTTAGCTTGCCAGAACGCTATTTCCCCTTCTCAATGAACATTTTCATTTTACCTGGTGACATTGGGTCCAGAAAGAAAAATAAAAAAAAGAGAAAAACAGGAATCTTCATGATTGAAGAGATTCAGCTCAACCGGTTGTTCTTGGAAATCTTTGAATGAGGGAAAGGCAGAGAGCATTTCTTTTTATCCCTCTCTTCCACCAGTGATATGAATTTAGTCATTCATGTTTATCCAACGTTAACACTGCTGTTTAGCATTGCCTGGAGCACAAGTGCTGGACATTCTTTTCCTTTTATCTTGGGAAAATAAAAGGATCACAGTATCCCCAGCAGATTATTATTTTTTTTAATAGCTAGCTGCCTAGGGAATGCCATGCCACTGGGAGTTTCCTACAGGAGGTCTGAGGACTGTGAACGTGAGAGCCTAATCTTTGCTTTAGCTTTCTTTTATTGTTTCTTAAACAGCTATGCCAAGTAAACAAACTACTGAATTTAAAAAGTAGCAGAAATTCTTGTCTAGTGATTTATTACCTTAGTCACTAGACCATATTTCTTCCTGTGATCCATGGCTGTTACTAAAACCCTCTTTATAATTACTGAAATAAATATATTTTTGCTGCCTTCTTTACATCGAGGTATAAAAGATTTGCAATGGATACACACACATATACAACCGGAAAAAACCTCTGTATTTGTAAGATGCCAAATGGCCATGATGAAACTGGCAATGAGTCGTAAGTCATGTTAACAAGAGAATGACTTACTTGGGTGTTTTCTGTAAGAAAATATTTTGGTTACAGTGATAAAAAAGAATCTTTAGTAAAAGATCCAAGTCATAATTTGCTTTGCTTTGCGGAACTCTTTCATAAAATCTGAAAGTAACAAGATGATTTAAAGTAGTGGTTATCATGGTCCATTAAAGAGAAATTACAATAAAATGTCCAATTTGTAGGCATTAAATTTTTTCTGCTTTTAGAGGGTAAAGAAAATTTCTCTATGGCTCGGCGCCAATGGCTCAGTGAGTAGGTTGCCGGACATTTACAAGGAGACTGGAGGGTTCGAACCAGGCCCAGGCCTGCTACACAAACAATGACAACTGCAACCAAAAAATAAAAATAGCTGGGTGTTGTGGCAGGCGCCTGTAGTCCCAGCTACTTGGGAGGCTGAGGCAAGAGAATCACTTAAGCCCAAGACTTTGAGCTTGCAGTGAGCTGTGTACGCCATGGCACTCTACCGAGGGGAGGGTGACATAGTGAGACTCTGTCTCAAAAACAACAACAACAACAAACAAACAAAAAACCCCACACACCTCTAGGAAAGTTAAATACATAATAAACCTATTATGTTTAATTTTTGAACCTAGCAACCTTGAGATGTTGTGAATTGTTCAGTGCCTATTATGTAGAAAACTTGAATTCCTAGGACCAGTGTCTGGAACAGATCTCCAATAGTGGAATTAGGTCTTCTGACCTATCCTTACGCTATAACATACCTCAGAGTAGGTTCAAACGCTCAGTGGTTATTGAAAGTGACGGTGAGAATAGTCTCAGATTAGACTCAAAGAATGTCACTAAAGGTGTGGGGCTCACCCTCAGCTTAGCGTTTTTAGTATGTATTTATAATTCTCAGCACAGTAGTTATGGCAAAGGCTGCCTAGGACACTTGAAGGGTTATAGAAAACAGTGCAAAGAGAAAATAGCATGGAAACAATAAAACCCTGTCCTTTCTGACATGTCCTCCCACTGTAAGTGCCTTTTATGGACCATAGCCTCTTACATGTCTGGGAAGAGCGATTGTCTAAACGTTATGGTGCTTGAGCTCTTTTCTATCTGTTATTGCCTTGCTAAGAAATATTTTACAGGCTTCACATATCTTACCATTAAATAGCAAGAGCTGACACTTGCTGATAACTTACTATGTATTAGGCACTGTTTTAACACTTGAGTATCCTAACTCATTTGCTGCTCACAACATCCTTTGAGGTAGGTGCAATTAATTACCTTCTTATAGAGGTGTTGGGACCACCCTCGACACGCAGTGGGTTTACTTCCTTGTGGCCTGCTGGTGTGAGAAGGCTGGAAAATTATTAGTAGGAGTTATAGAATATTAATATAGAGAAATAATAGACACAGACAGAGAGATAGTTTTAAGAGCAGTGGGGCTCAAGAGGCTGCACACACTTCCTCGTGAGGCTGAGTACGCTGCCCCGAGTATCAGGCTGGCTCTGTACTCATTTCATACATCAGTGTTACAGTCATAAATCTCAGGAAAACAAGGCAAACCATCCCGTCGTGGTTCTTGCTGTGCTTGCATTCCTACTAACTAGACTAACACTACAGCTGATTACGTTAATTGCATGGATTTACTTGTTACTTTTTACTGCTTCAAAGTATTATAGTCTTAATGTAAACAAAGTCTTGATAAGGAAATCAATCTGAGGCCGACTGAAGGACCAAATTCTAGCTGACCCATAGTCACACACCACAGATAGGGTGTTTTAGTACTCTGACAGACCTGTGTCCAAACAGATAGACTCCTGTGGCCCAATCAAGGTGGCAGAAGAAAAGAGATCTTTCTTCTCCTTATCTGGTCCAGAGAAAGTCCTCCGGATTTGGACAAAGTTCAAAGAATTCACATTCTTAACTCCCCCAAACCACCCCCTCAGAGCACATAGCCTTCTCCTGGCTGAAAGCAGCTTCCAGGCCTCCAGCCAGCTGCTCCTCTGCAGCCGCAAGGGGAGGGGGGATAAACCCTACACCAGGTGCAAAAATATTAAAGTGATGGGTTCTCATACTTTGTGCTCAAAGCCAGAAAGATGGGTCTGAACCAATTCTCCATACTGTCTCCCTTGGTCTGACCTCGTTCCCTATTCCTAATAATATTTCTAATCTACTAATGGTAAATAATTGAATATTGGTTTCAAACTCATAAAATCATTATTACTAGTAATGTAAGCACATCAAGATATGACTCCTCCCTTAAGTAATCCCACATGTACTCTTCAGTGAAAATTGAGACATGAAGATATTAAATAATTTGCCCCATTTGATACAGCTAATACATGGTAGTGAAGAGAATTGAACTGAGGATACCAGAGTCCCATCTCCCAACCACGTTACATACTATAGAATGAGGAATGTGATTAAATTATCTTGATGTGTCCACAGTGAAGATTTTTTGCATGTGGCATTATTATGAAACCCTTTAATATGCTTTTTAAAAAATAATTGTATAAATTTTAGAATAAATTTGTTGAGCTTACATCCCACATCATTGAAGCTGGTACCCATAAGGTAAAAGTATCCCACGCATCTAAGCATTTAATTATCAGTTAGTCAAATGCAGAGAACAAAAGTACAATAAGCAAAGTTATCATAGTATTCTTTAAAAGAGGAAACTTAGGGCAACACCGGTAGCTCAGTGGTTATGGCGCCGGCCACATACACCCAGGCTGACAGGCTTGAGCTCAGCCAGGTCCAGCTAAACAACGACAACTGCTATAAAGGAATAGCCGGGCATTGTGGTGGGCACCTGTAGTCCCAGCTACTTGGGAGGCTGAGGCAAGAGAGTGGCTTAAGCCTGAGAGTTTAAAGTTGCTCTGAGCTGTGACTGCATAGCACCCTATGGAGGGTGACATAATGAGACTCTGTCTCAAAAAAAAAAAGGAAACTTATTACTTTAAGAACCTAAGAAAGTAAAACTATAATATCAAAGTTGCAGCTTTGATTTCTGAGAGTAGATGCCAGATAAGATCAAAGGCTTCTTCTCAGGATAAAGTAATATAAAATACAGCTTGAAGAATGATGTAGCTTAGCATGTTATGAAGTTCTAGTAATAAAAATAACTAATAAAAATTAGGTGATATTTATTAAAAATTTAGGTAATACAGGTAATTGACAGCCCCATATAAACACTTGTAATTTTAATTTTTGTAATTTTTTGTAACTGTTGCATGACAAAGCAATCTAGAAGATATGGCATAATTACAAATAATGTTAGGATTATCAAACTACTAGTAAAAAAAATGGGTAGAATCTTATGTTGTCTAACATACACTAAATTAATTCCAATTAATTATATAATTTAACATAAAAATAATCAAATGTGGACCATATAGATGTGTATGTTCATAGACATATATTCATATAAAATATATTGAAACACATATTTTAAAATATAAGCAAGATAAAAGCTTTAGAAACCACACCAAAGATGGTACATTTAATTGTGTACAAATTTATAATTTCTTTATGATTGAAAGACAAAGTTTGAATTAAATATTTGCAATATATAAGAGCCAAAGAGTCGGCATAAAAATGTACATAAAAGGCTATATACACAATTCTTTCAAATTATGAGTAGTTCTAAAAAAATTAATAGTTATGAAAAAGCAAATCACAAAACAGAAAATACAAAAGAATCCCATAATCTTATGCAAATATTTAACTCATTGCAAGTAGGAAAATTTAAATGAATACAATTCTGAACTTTTTTTCACAATCACATGTTGCCTCCCCCTGCCACCGGTATTTAGTAATTATGGTTGTGGCCCAGAAAAACAGGTAGAACAGTTTAGCAGTGTAGAAACCTAGACTTTGACCCAGCCATTTCACATCCCTTCTGTGATAGCATGCTTAAAACATTGTGCAAAGTTGCGCGCACACATATACTCATGCAACACGATGAAACTTGGAAAACCCAAATATGCGTAGTTAAAGGAGTGGTTAAAACGAACTTATGATGCTCTCATGCCAATCGAGTCACTGAAAAAGTGAATTTGTATTGTGTGCGTAAGTGTGTGTTTGGAGAGAGAATCATCCGTGTTATCTTCAGTAGTTTGTGAACTTGGGCACATCAAAGTAAATTGAGATCTTTTCATACTTTTCTATGAATATCTCTGATCTCTAACATCCCATGCATGAGGGAATGTTTAGGACTATCTCTTGGCAACCTTTGTGTTTCCTGTTTCCAGTCATTCTATGTACGTGTTTACCTTCTAGAAATCTCCAAAGTGATGTGGAAAAATAAAGAAAAGGTACAAAGAGGGTACCCCTCTCTTTTCTTACTTTCAGCTCTCATGTTCTCTGGCAAATACTGATTGTACAGACTGT